AATGGTGACAACTTTTTTGAAGAAACGAGAATCGATCAGTTGAGATTGGTGCCTACACCTGCCTTTATTTTTTAAAAGCTGTCAAGCTCGGTCCATGACGCCAATACATCTTGTACTAAGGCAATAGATTCATTCTCCACAGTCAATATTTTTAATGACCTCAAACGTTAAACCAATCGATAATTTCTCTTTATTCACAAATTTGAAAGCTGTGCCCGCACCTACGATATTATTAAAAAGTGCAAGCAGCAATTTGTTGCATTCAAAACCCCTATCTTGATTTACAATGCAAAACATGGAATGATGAAAATTGGTATCAAAATGCAGTAAAAATGTTCCAATCCTCAAAATGACCATTGATAAACAATAATAATAATAACGTTACCCCAGCAGCATAAGCAGGGTTTCACACACTGTTACTTACATTTACATCACTTCAATCACTCATGTTTATATTCTCGATTTTAATACTCACACGAGTAATTTGCCTGATGTTATTATATATGAGTCATGGAAATTCACAAAATGAAATTAGCGTCAGTTCAACAATATTGTGAAATAGCAATAAGTCAAATTAGAGCGGCTAATTTTCAAAGTGTTCGCCATCACCTAAAATCAAGTAAACGTATGTGCATGTATTTTGTAAAAATTATGAATAATTTTGCATACAATTTGGTGAGAGAATCATTTTTTCAGCGAAATATTGCTGTTAAACACAAGCTCTCTTGGAACTTAAGCTGTTGTAATTGGCTTTCGTAATTTTCGCTTATAAATGGGCGCATATGAATTTTGCAATTTCCGCGAATATACATTAGAGACCCCAAAAACCGTATTATGTACGTTCACATTCCGAGTCAAGTGGCCTAACTTGACCCATATAAAGTTGAAATGATATGTTTGCGTAAATCGAATTGGGCCGACAAAGTGGACGCAAACTTAGGCATCAGTTATTGATTTATCTTTGCAGATGTCACTCCCAAATTCGCACAAAAATAGCGTTGTACTTTCACGCGCTCTCCTTGTGTTAAATAATTTATTTGCTAACATCTACCAACAAATAAGGATGAAAAGCGAATTTCTCAACCCTAAACACTTTATAAAAAGCAAATCATGCTTTCAGCACATAAAAGCAGTTAATGAAAAGCAAAAAATCGGTTATTCACCTCAGGATCGGCATCTAACTTTAGCAAATTGTATCAGCCATAGAGATTATAGCCTCTTATCTTAGCTTACTGTAGACCGATCGTAAGCTATTGATGTATTAAAGGTTTTTTGGATTTTAGCAAAGAGCGAAAGTTTCACGATTTGCGCTGGGTATGACTTTGTCCGTAGAAGAAGAGCACTCGTTTTGTTGGGAGTGCTTTACAACAATTTGGAATTTTTTGGACAAATATAACGCAGTTTCTCGTTACAATTTCACTTATGTTCATCTAACTTGAACTAACCGTTACCATTAGTCCCTTTAATTTATCTCTTATTTATCTATATAGCGATTTTCATTATTCTCTCTTTCCTTAGGGAAGCCGTTTACTTCATTGAATTGCTACAATCTGACGATTTTTTTTAAAGAAAACTTATTCGGAAACAATAACGAACGAATTACAAACTCGTTAATGCCACCCTGACGATCGTAACCACATTCTTTAACTTATTATTTCTTACCTCACGCCGTAATTTCGAAGTTTGCACACTTGTTTCCCTCTTCCACGTCCTTCTGGAGCTGTTTATAGTAACTAAAGTTAACCTAACTCTCCTCAACTGTTCATTTTTAAATCAAAATCGTTCCTCATGTTGACCTTCACAATATGTCTCTTTCTTTTCACGTCTGTGCTCGAGTTCCTCCGTCCATATTTCTTAGGCATTTTAAAAACGTAAAACGTACTCAGTTTATACAAGTATTTGTTAACAAATAAATGCGCCCTGATGGAAGACGGCCCACCATTAAATATCCTCCAACACTTCACTTACTACAATTGTTCATGTAAAGACTTTTAGATGTAAAGCGTTACATGGGGAGTTTTCGCAAAATTGGTCCGATCCAAACCATTTTCAATAACATCCTTCCTCAGGCTGTAACACACATTAGTGTAATAAACTTCATCAAAATATCTCGAAAAACTGCAACCTCTTGGTTGCGAAAACAGGGAAACAAGATGGATAGATGAACTGACAAATGATTGTGAGTCGTTTGATGTGATAAAAGGTGAGTCTATCTCAAGTTCTTTTGGATTTCATATCTGTGCGAAAAGCGGTGTAAGATATAATAATTATATCGGAATATAAGACACTGTTTACAGACGTCCCAAGTTGCCTTTTTTTTTTCTTTTCTAGAAATAAAAGCTTTACTCGTTATAATATGACAGACACACTACTATTAAGATATACATACACACATGCATAGAACGTCTGCTCAAAGTGTTCAAATAGATTGCGTGTAAACACTTGATTAAAGACATAAACAAATAACTAAAAGAAATTTTATACGAATGAATTGTTCGAAATACATATACCGTGAAACATTCCAAAAACGGTTAATTTTTACTAAAGAAAATTTGAAAATGGTCTTCGCAAAGAGTTCTCCGTATTTGTACGATTTTACACATAAAAAAAGAAAAGAAAGAAAGAAAGCAAAGAAAAGCCGCAACAAAGACTACAAGAAAAATTTACATTGTCTCATACAATGTAATGACAACAATGAATATAGTAATAATATGAGAAAACCGTGTCATTAAACCATAAAATAAACATTAAATTGAGGACACGCACTTTAGTATTTACTTCGATCATAAATATAAAAAACACACTAAAAGACAAGGAAACAAAGCGGAATATAGGAGTAATTTGTCAGCATTCTATGTGCATGGAGTTTAGAAAGTTATATATAATACAAACAATTTCATCCATCAGCAAAGTATTTAAAAGCTTAACATTAAATTCAATGATCAGGAAAATAGTTTTTGTTCAAATTACTTTTAATTAAATATAAATAAAATTTTTATTCGAAAATGTTACACCGTCAAAATATCACTAAATTAATAGCTGTTTTTAATGTGACTATTGTAATAATACGTACATTATGTAAGTGTAGCTCTACTGGTCTTTAAATAAATCTCTTTTTTTTTTTATATTTATATCACTCTTATAACATATGCGGCGGTGTTTACAGTCTTACGAATTAAGAGATATGTGTGCGGAAATCATTTTGTTTTTGTATAATTGTGTCATAAATTTAAGTGTTATGTGTCTTTATTAATCGGCATGAAATCGAAAGTTGGTCTTTATTATTTAGCCGACAAGAGTTTAGGTTATTGCTGCAGAGTATTATGTTTGAATATATTAAAATAAATCAGTTATAGAGTCAATGAAACTATTCATTCATCTTAGAGTGAATTTTTCATACTTATTATCACAATTGGTATCCATTAACCTCCTGATGATGCATCAATTCTCTCTTCTACAAACGTTTGCGTTTATAAACCAAAAAAGCAAAGGCTTTGCGCTTTATGCATTTCAAAGGAAATGTTCATTGAACACATCATCAGTTTCATGAAGACGATTTAACTCTATTGCAATGCATACAATTGTCAATGCGATCAATGATTGAGATGTTCCTTTAGGTGTTATTTAGATCGCTCTTAGTGCGTCGTAAGTTGTTATTAATTTTTAATTCAAAAAATAAGTTATATTAACTTTGTATGGACGCATGTAAAACCCAGAAAGATTTAAGATAAATGCATTATTACACCGATTTCAGAATCAGGTTTCGAATCGATTTAAGCATATCCGTCCGTGTGACGATGCCTACCGACCCCGTGCAGACCGCAATTTTCGGGATTTAGAGCACTTTTGCCCAAGGACGGTCTCGAGCTGAGTCATGCCACTTTCATGGCTTCGCATACTATGCCTTACTTTGAAAAGGAAACAGTTCGAAAATAAATGCCACTTTCAAAATTTCTCAGCAAAAATAGCTGAGTAATAACGTTTCGGCATACTAAATGGATGTAAGAAATCTAGATCGGTTAGAGTACATTTTTAATTCTCTTCCATGAGACTGGTCCTACGTTGTGAAAATTGGTTCATGGTGGTCCCTGGCGAATCGCAGCCTTGTCTTTTTAATTCATTTTATTAATAAGTGACTTATGACTTGTTTCAGCGCACTTGAAAGTGGATGTTTTTTGACTTGCCATAGAATATATTACTAATTACCCACGGAGAAAATTTTATTGCTGGCTGCTCTTGATTTGTTTTTATAACCCTTTTTTCAGGTTTTGTGTTGTTTCATTGTCCGTCGAATGGTTGAGCGGCTTCGATTTGCTTACTCGGATATCTCCCGAAGCCATTTTTCATTTTTATGATGTTGAATTATTAATTTTCTTACTTCAATAGTGGTTTGTCCTCTTTGTCTTCTCATTTTGTTTTTTTATTAACCTTTTTTAATAAGTGACACAATCAAACAAGTAACGTTCCAAAATTTTGCAAAAAATATTTAATTTCCCCAAATACTTTTCATAAAAAGAAACTGAATTAAAAACAGTTTTGCCAAAATTTGTTTATGGCATTTAATGTAATACATCATATTCAAGCTGACTACGGAGATATGGTACGGACTTCAATAGGTATGATTACCCGTAAAGCTATTGCTTTAAATCGTATAAGAAATTATTGTACCTTAAATTATATGTCACCCATAGATCATCGTGTAAATGAATGAAATATTCTATGTAAGGAATATTGACGCAGCTCAAGCCGACTATAAATCAAATGCGTTTAGCAGACATATCAAACCGCCTCCCAGCCCTTGGGCGAATTAGTAGACTACAGTCTGAAAAGTCTTTCATGCATCGACTTGCTTCATTAGTTTCAAGTTCATCAATATAAGGAATTTACTAACGTAATACAAAATATATGATTCCAATTGTATTTAGAAATTGTTCATAAACAACCTCATATTAATTAGTGTTTTATAATATACTTATTCATATAATTTTTTTTTCTTTCAGGTAAGTGTTATTGCTTTAATAATCTTAGTAACGTCAGTTGAACGGTAAGTTTTCGACAAAAAATACTCCGAGCGAAAGTAACTTGCAATAAAATAGATCAATATCAATAGAATATTGATCAGCAGAAATGGTTCCTTCTTCCCTACTTAATTTATTCAATTTAAGCTAAAGCAATTAAGTTTAGCATTCGGCTGCTTATCAGCATAATCTGAATACATAACAACGCATCACATTCGTATTTCCCTCAGTAGCGTATGTAAATAATCATACAGCTAAGCAATTAGTGGCGAACTTTTTTTATTCCGTTTGCCTCAACCTCAATTCAAGTGAGAAAATCAAAATAAACAAAGCAAAAATAAATAAATAAGAGTGAAAAAAATAGAAACTGTTTAAATAACAATGCAAATAAGCAAATAATTATATACAGAGATATCAAGCGACGTCGAGCTACAATATAAACTGCAGGAAAATGCATTAAGAAATGATATGTGGTATCTAGTATATGTGAAAAGTTTAAGAAAAAAAAAACCCAAACATCACATGCCATCCCAATAAGTTTTACAAGTGCTTATGATGAGCTGTTAATGCCGCTAGTATTAGAGTATTGAGGGTGAACGATGATGTTTGCAATCAAGCATTTATATATATCCATCTGTATTTTTTTTACATATACCGCCAGTCATATGTTTAAACTTGAGCTCTCCCTCTTATCGTTCAATAAAGCCAGCTGTTTAACAAGTCGAGCGCCATTACCATTTACTGAGTCGCTGCTGCTCCGTGATGTATAATACTGATGACGAAAACATGTGTTTTGCGCGCCTTTTTTGTCATAATGAGAAGGCAAAAAAAGGAAACATTGTGTAACAGAGCACATTGGCCGTTTATGGTTGCATACAACTCTGTAATAGCTATTTTCAGCTATCTTCAATGTACCATACGGGAGAAAGAGAGAGAAGTGCATAAAACTAGAAGCTGCACACTCTCACTGGTATTCAATTATTATTGTGTACATACGAAAAATGTTAAATAACATTTTGAAAAAAATTTCTCTCTTTTCTCTCATCTAATAAGTTTCTGCTTATTTGTGTATGTACATCTTTCTTGATATACTTGCATTGCGCATGACTTTGATTAAGCTGATAAAAAAGCATGCTGTGTATACTAAAAATTCTTTTGTTGGCTTATGCTTGTTTTACATACCCGTACAGCATTTAAATGTGAACAAATATGGGATTTTTTATGGTTTCACATAAACTCTCAATATATATTAATTTTTATACAAATACAAGCAGCATTTATCCGTGCAGAAAACTTGTATTCAGCTGAGTTGTGCTGAATAAAGCTTTTAGCAATCAACCAACCAAAACAGCAACGCCATGTTACTTTTTTGTTTTAACCATGAGCGCAATATTTACAAAAAAAATGGCTTAGGCACGTTTCATTTTGATAAGCTATAAAATTCAATAATTCTCAATACGAGTTTATGCTACACACGTCCATCGTATTTATGTACATTGTGTGTTAGTTATAATATAGTGTTCGTTCTCTTTGTTATTTTTTTTATGTTGCTTATTTCGTCATGGTCTGATTTCGATTTCTCGTTTAGTTTTTACTTAATGATTGTTGTACATTTTGTGGGCCATTTGCCTTCATACTAATTCAATTTTACTTTTGCGATTATATAGTGGCTTTTCTCATTTATACATTGTTGTAGTCTTTTCAATGCTTTTTCTCAAGAGTCGCAGGTCGATGGTTTTCTTTAACAATTCTTATTTTTCCTTTTTTTTTTGCTAAGCCTTTAATTTGCTATCTTCTTCAACCTAACACCGGTTTAACAATAAATAAAACTGTCGAGTGCTTTTTTCTTAATGGAGGCCAATTTTTTTTATGCATTGTCCTTTCCAAAATAGTGTAAAAGTTATACTTATATCGAATTTTTGTAAAATCCAGAATCTGTAGATTTTGTTGATCATAGGCACTTGTTGCATAATTGTAGAGCGGCCCAATGGGCTACTTTAAAGCGCTAACATATCCTTTTTTGTTTTTTTTTTCTCGTGGAATAAAATAAGCTGTAAGACTTGAAGAAGAGAAGAAAAGGTCGTATTTTCCAAGTCCTTTCTTTCCAGTTTCCTTATTATAAGGAAAGAAATAATAAAAAGTTAATAACACTCAGAAATTGGAAATTCTTTTATGCCTTAACGAGCATGTAACGGGATATCTCATCTACGTAATTGTATCGTTAACATGAAGAACTTTTAACCTTATTCTTTCTAACTTTTTCCTTCGACGTAAACCTATCTAAAACCGCCATATCTAGTATAATAATTAAATAAATTAAGTAAACCTCAAAGATGAAGAACCTCAGATATTTTAAACAAGACAATAAAAAAAATTAATAAATAAATTTCTTTAATTATTCTTATTACTTTAAGTTGCCATATATCTAATATTGTTGTTATATCTGTCCGCTCACGTAATTCATTCTGCTAAATAATTTTTTATAGAAGTTTTGATTTACTACTATTCAAGTATTTGAATTATTCTTACAATTGAAGCCCTTTTTAACACAAATAACGGGATTATCATATCAGAATGTGACGTTGTAACATTGGAATTAAGTTACATTTAAAAAAAAAAAAAAACTTATTAAGAAACCCTTCACAAAATGTATGTACTGAACATAACATGGCAACGATTTGCGGTCTGCTAATAAAACTGAAAAATTAGGTTCAAAATGATTTTTTTCAAGCTTCTACTACTAAAACAATAACTATGCAATAATTGCTACAAATGAAGAGAGCAGAAATAGTTAATGTTCACAAAGCATGAAGAAGAAGATGAACAGAGTGAGAAATAAAGCAGCAGAGCATATTTAGAATTTTCTGATTGTTGGAAAAAGTCTATTGCGAAATAAGATTGCCGTTACAAACTTTTGGAAAGGTGTATCAACTCAAGCTACTGTCTTAGCTACTTAACCCAACAACATAAGCTAATATATTTGAGGATCATGGATATATTCTATTGTTGTTTTACTTTTTTTCGCTCCATAATTCAATTGCTTATATACGTACATAAATAAAAGTATGTAATGCATGCTCCATAGTTAATGGGTCTTTTTTTTTTACTAAGTCTTAATTTCCGTAATGGTTCGCTGAATGTTTATTGTTTGGTGGTTGGTGTAAGCAAATGCAGTCGTTATTATATAAAAAACAGTAAACGCTTTTTCCAACAGAGCAGAGCATCCATCTACAAAAGAACGTCATCAGTTAGAGACTTAAAAATAAATGTACGTCTGTTTCTTACATTTATCCAAACATAACGTTTACGTACATGTATATACAACCAACTCTGCTCAAAAAAAAAAAAAAAAAAACTCTTGTCTGGAGAACAAAAGACACCAACTGCAACAACAACAAGCACAACAACAATAAAAAGCAAACAATACAAAATTTATATACATACCGCACTCGAGTCAGTTAGTTATGCTAGAGAGCTTGAGATTTAAACACGTTTAACGTTTGTGTTGCTTTTATTTGCCTGTTGTACAAAGAAGATATAAAAAATTAAAGAAACGCATATTTTATTTAAAGATTTGATTAACTCGGTTGCAAATTAGGCTTTTTTTTTTGTAAGAAACGCGTAGTGAAATTTTTTTGTTAAGCAAATTGGGAACTTAAGATTTTGTATATAAATTTTAAACGAAAAAATCACGTAAAATTAAAAGCAAGCTGCGCTTAATAATATTTTCGGAAAATATTTAAAATTCGTTAAAAAAAAACGAAACGAAGCGAAAATTTTTTCATATTGTCTGGTATTTAAAATGTACACCTTCCTCATTTTTGATACATATACACAAAATACAAACAGGCTCGCCTTGTAATTCTCTCTCTCCCTCTCTCTCTCTCACTCTCTCACTGTCTTTCTTACTCGCTTTCCTATTAACTAATCATATTAACAATAACATAAAACTCTCTGATTGGTGTAAATAACAGATTCGGAAATATTAACATAGCCTCATACTGCAAGTGACGTCACAGATAGATTAGCATTAATGTAGGTTTGTTGTTGTTTCCTCATACATATTAATACTGAATTAAGTTTGATGTAATTTATTTACTAGAAAATTTCAAGATAACATTTTTCGTAATTGTGCATATATAAATAATATGCTGAAGACTGACAAACGTTTGTATTTGTAAATAGCCCGAATTTAATTTACTTAACAGACTAGAGTAATATTGGTATAGCCTGAGTATACAATGAATAAATATTGTACTGTTACGTGGATGATGTGTCTGCTTGGCTATCACATTTCTCTTACGCTTTACTCTCCCTGTAATAATATATCCTCTCTCAGATTTGTTTAATGTTAACAGTAGTTTTTCTCTTGTTAACAGCTGAATCGTTTAGCTGAATTATGTTCTTTTAGATATTTTCGTTTCAACGTTTTTTATGTGCAAAAAATTTCGAAAATACAATGGGAAGAAGAAGCATATACAGCAAACTTTTTTTTTATATACAAAACAACAAGCGTGTCAGCAAGCCAACGTTAAAAAGAAATTTTAGAAGTTCATAGAAAAATTAATATAAATAAATAAATAAATATACTTATTATATAATTATTAATATAAAAAAAATTCTTTATTTATACATTAGTTACATAGTGTTAAATAAGAATATATACAAAATATAAATTCGTTGTTCGATTGTTGTATACCGTGCAAAGTTTATAATGAGAATTTTCATTAGATTTGAAAAGTGAAAAAATAACATGAAAGGAAGAAATTGCTGAATCGCCTTTTTAAACAAATTCTTTTAATACGTACCACATATTATATTCAGATGAAATCTTTAGATGCCTACGTAAGGAATTTCAAATTATTAAAAATTAACAAATTCACAAGAAGTCTCATTCTAAGTGGTGCTCATCATTAAAGTAATCGCAGAGATTTCCGAAAACAACTGCTACTGTTCAGCGCATTCCCACGAACATCTGCGTAAACGTATTAACAAATGTCAGTATATTGAATGTGCCAGTGTATGTATACGTTCGAAATTTTTCATAAGTAAAAAGAAAAAAATTTGTAAAAAAATCTGTTTCTTTCAATTTTTTCTTCTCTCTATTTTTCTGCGTGGCGTCCACGTAGAAGATGTAAGGAAAAAATTTAAAAATCCTTATACAACTAGATGGGCTCTAAACAAATGCTATATTTGGTTTATGCGAGATTATTAAGAAAGTTTTAAAAAAAGAAGATAAATAAACTTCTTATTCGTCAGATTTTGTCGAAAATAGCGACCCATATGCTTCGCTTTATTTTAACTAAAAATTATCCGTGAGTAGATGCAGTGAGCAAAGTTTATAAAGTGATGCTCTACGTCATAGTATTTGATATTTTTTTTATCTCTAGATTCTCTGTTGGTAAAATTTTAAGTTTGTCCAAAGTTTCTTTTAGACTTTGATATACCTTACCAAATTTTTTTTGAAAGACAATCACTAATGGTTTAGCAAGTCACCCGACCAAGAGAATATTTGCTTCAACACTTATAGAGACCCATAACGTGTCTATTAAATGATCCCTGATAAACACATCATACAATCGGGCAGCCGTTCGATCCTTTCCTTTTCGCTTTAGGTTTTCGAAATTCTGTTAAAAATGCGCATAGAAAGCTAATGAACGATCGATTTGTCGCTAGTTTAGGTCCATTAGTTCAACATGCAACTAAATATGACAAGAGCGAATAGAAAATATGAAATATTCGAAAACTTAGTGTGCGGTGAGTAGTGATGTTTGAAATTCGAACACACATTCGAACGTGTAGTTCTAATTGTCAGTATAATAAAATTGAAAGAAACGAAAATTCCAAAATGTTACATATCTACCGTCCGAAAAAGAAAATTGAGCACCCGATAAAGTATACAGACATGTTTACTCTATTTATATACTTAGTAACAACGAAGAGGCTTACTAAAAATTGTGCACTTCTTCCTGAAACAAAGCAACTTTAGAAATGTGGATAATGTAATACGATTAGTTATTTTAAAAAATTGGGTTTAATAGTTCTTGTAATTGTTATAGTGTTAGTTGATTTCCGATATCAAATTTCCAGTATGCGCGAATGTGTTTTTGCATTCATAGCGTTAAAATAAAAGAATAATTTACGGGAAATGTGTGATAGGTTGTCGTTTTTAAATCCAAGGATCGATTCTATGACTTAATTATTTATACAGATTGACCATTGTTGTGCACTACACCACTTGTGGTACAGGGTATATCAAGTTAGTGCGGAAGTGTGCAACACGCAGAAGGGATTAAGATAGATCCACCTTTTATTATACCGATAGCTTCAGAGTCGTACTCTGAATTGATTTAAGCCTATTTGTCCGTCTGATGTCTGTCCATGTACATTTATGTTCACGCTACAGGTCGCAATTCTGCAGATATTTTCATGAAATTTGGTACAGTGAAGTATATTGACCTCACTAAGTAGTAGTATTTCGGCATTCGTATGTGGTGATGAAAATTGTCCCATAATATTAATACCATACAAAAATGCACTCTGCAAAATTGGGACCATCTATGTCTATTTTAAGATCCCGCCTATGCAAGGATTAAATTTGTACTACATTAGGTTGCATTTTGGGCGCGCTGCCCCATAAATGCGCACTTGAAAAATATGCCCTTATATTGAAACAAGATGTAATTTTTATGTTCTATAATAAAGATGGGAACTGTGTTTAGGCAATGTGGTGTAGGGTATTGAAAGGTCGGCCTTCCCCGACTAGAATCTTCTTACTTAATTATGAGGTTCTTTTTATATCAAGTAAAAGTGTAGTTTCGAGGGCCTAAAAAAACATATACTCGTCCGCAACATGAAATTACGGTTTGTTGTAGTCGTACGTGTTCCGTCTGTGTGCCGTTTGTTCTTGGCCGTTTTCGTAAGCGAAAGTGTGACGTGAATAGAAAAATCAGACGTAAAATCAGAATGTAGATACATGTCTACTATATCTTTTATATCCTACCTTATTAAGATTTTCTAAAAGCTTTGTACGCAATTGACGCTTTTTCAATTTGTGCATTTTACAAGCGCTTTTTATGCATAAAAATATCGAATTTTGCTT